GAGGTTGGTAAGTTGCCCATTTTTCCCTGTTTCCCTGGGGTCCAACACCTGCACTTACCTGCTTGCCTCAGGTCCCTCTGCAGGCACTAAATGTGGGCTCTCTTGATCCAGCCAAAGCCCACCGAACACCTGAGGAGGGTGTGGTGACAGAGTCGAAAAGACCTCCAGAGACCAATTTCACAGAACTCGATCCACTTCATTATTGCATAGGCAAAGTTTTTATAATGATCCAATGAGCTACCAACATACTTATGAGGGGCAACCAATGGGCTAATAGATCAGTGGCAGAAAAGCAGAAGGAAAGGAACATGCTGTGCATGGGTTGGGAGGACAGTTACCATGGTGATGGGGCTGAGTGCGGTTAAAAAACCATGGTATCTGGATTCAGCGTGCTGAACTCTGAGAGCCCCTCACATATGTAACATAGGCCGCTTTTCAACTCCTGGGCCCAACATATTTTATTTAGAGACAGGGTCTCCCTGAGTTGCTTAGTGCCTCGCCAATGCTGAGGTTGGCTTTGAACTCCCGATCCTTCTCAGTCTCCCAAGCTCCTGGGATTACAAGTGTGCACCACCATGCCTGCCTAGAAGTTGATTTTTGATTATTAGTTTATTTTTATTGAGATTTGTATATGAATTTTTCACTGCTGACTTGGGGAACATATGTTCCTCATGGATACACGCAGGCTTTAGTGTACTGCTGCTGTAAATATTGCAACACAGGATTTTGTGTGGATCTACATTGTGAACTTATTTGGGTTACCCCAACTTTGGGAAATGGCTTGGGTTCAAGGAGCCACCACTCTGACCTATTTGATGTGGTTGTTCACTTCAGTCTGTGAAAGTTGAGGGATCATGGGCCTGCCAGGAGGTTGGTGTGAGACCTGTGTGTATTTGAGTATGTGTTAAGAGCCCTGGGATTTATCAGGTATCCATCTACACCAATGTAGCCGATTTTCTGGTAGGAGCAGCATCTGAAAAAACCCCATCCGATATCCTTGTCCACTTGCCGTAGACACTCTAGGAAGCAGGAATGCAAATGAGATGTGCACTGTGTCAGGTGGTCAGTGTTGATGGGGAGAACCTCAGTAAAGGGTGCAGAGGCTGCACTGTCTCCTCCCATCTTGGTGCCTGTGGCTGTTCTCTCTGCAGGTGATAGTCTGAGTCTGAGTTGCCTATGCCCACCTCCATCTGCTTGGTGAAGTCCTTGATTTTGTCCCACTGTCTGGGGCTACGTGAGTTGGCTGAAGTCTGGAACACAGGGATTTTTTTCCTTGCTTCCCTGGTAGCACTCCTCTTGCTGTGTTGTCTGGAAGTGGTGAGAGCAGGCATCCTTGACTTGTTTTTGTTGTCATGGAGACAGCCTTTCATCCTTCAGTGTAGCCTTCAGTGTAGGTTTTGTAGATCTCTGGCACTTTTTAAGGTGTTTCATTTTATTACAGTTAGGTTTGCATCCTTATGTCAGAAGGATTTGAGCTTTGTCAGAAGGAGTTGAGCTTTGTCAGCTGGTTTTTCTTCATTCTTTCAAGTTTTCAACTCCTTTCCAGATGCACAATGTGCAGGTATTTTCTACAATTCCTTCCAGTGCCATTTCACTTGCTGACGGTGTCCTATGAAGGACAACATTTTCCTTTCTAAGGCCGATTCACTTTTAAGTTGCACATGTGGATGAGGTGCAGTGAGCTGGTTGTACACCTGTTTCATTGCATCATTCCTAACATTTATCATTTCTTAGGGTCAGTGGACTGCTCCCCAGCTTTATTATGAAAACCACAGTGACATGTTGTACACTATGGCCACCTACTCTGCTGGAGAGCAGAAGTGCTGGCTCCTCCTGAATGGACTCTGGTACCTGATACCCAGCCTCCTCACCCAGCCCTGCTGTCCCCTCTCTTCTCTCCTCCTCATCTCTGGTGAATACCCTTGTACTTTCTGTGAAGCCAACTTGGAGCTTTGCTGTGTAAGAACACACAGTCGGTGTCTCTCTCTCTTCCTGACTTATTTCACTTAGAATGGTATTCAATAGTCCTGGCTTCATTGCTGCAAATGAAAGGCCTAAAAGCTATTTTTGGTGAAATTAGGTTTATCTATTATTCTCATGAATCAAATGGATGGTACTATATCCCAGAAACCATCCCCAAATCCATTGTTGTGAGACATGTGGTCTGCATTTTCTTCTAAGAATTGGTGAGGTTCACATCTTACTTCAGGACTTTGGTCCCCATGGATCTCATGTATGCGTGTGTTGTGAGGGGAGCATCTGACTTTAGGTGCTGCCATGAACATCCAGTTTCCCATCCATTCATTCTCCAGAGATCCTGGTCCCCTGGAATGACCCTGGCCCCTTGAGAGACATCATTTCCTTCTGTGTATCTGCATGGTCCTGGGTCCCCCTGTCCTCCTTCACTGCTCTGTGTGTCTGCCTTTAAACTAGTTCTACACTCCCTTTTTTACTCCTTTAAAGCAGGTTTTGAAATCACTTTACACTTTATTTTTCTTCTTCCATTGTTGATTTTCTTTCAATTCCACGTGAATCTTAGAATAGTACTTCTTATTTTGTATAAAAATGTCATTGATAATATGAAAGGCAGTGAATTGACCTCATGGTTGATTTTTAGGCAGATTTACAATTCTTTGAGCTCACAAATGCTAGATATTTTTATGTGTGTCATTTCTTTCAGAAATATTTTGTGGTTTTTGTAAAGTCTTCTTGGTAATTTCTAAATACTTTTACTCTTGATCTTCTGTGATGGCTTTCAGGTTGCTCGTGTTTTAGTGGATGTAAGTGTGTTGTGTTTATTGTGGTGGTGTACAGCTTGGCTTTATTTTTTAGTTCCAGGCATTTGCGTTTTCTTCTTCAGCGCATACACAGTTTAGAATTTTCTACTTACGAGATCATTTTGTGGCTTTGTTTCTAAGAGCCTCAGCCCTTCTTCCTCCCTGACCTAGGCAGGAAGATTAGGGGGAGCTGGGCTCAGTGTTTCTTTTTCCCCACAAGTTTTTGCTGATAATGTCTTGGGTGACTCAGCCTTGGAGAAGTAGTTTCCTTTGAATGTAGGCTCAGGAAGATAGAGTTCTCTGGGTGTGCTGGAAATGGCTCCTTTTCCTCCCTGTGCTGGCAGCAAAGGGCAGTTTTTTGTGATCTTGACTGTGTGAGCCTGGCAGCAGTTCAGGAGGTAAGACGTGAATTTGTGAGGACCCCTAAGAATACACAGAAAAAGTCTCTGGGCTGCACGTCATGGTAAATTTCAGGTGTGAGGAAATACCACTAGAGGGGCAGCAGTCCTGCTCTCCCCACTACCCACATCCTGCCTGACTGAGGGGCGCTGGGCCTGCAGTGGGTGTCAGTGCTCATCTGCTTGGCCTTCTCCTGGGCTTCTCTTCACCCAGAGGTGGTCCTTTCTCCATAGGCAGCTTTCACCTTCTGTCCCACATCTGGCTATTTCCCATTTGAGTTATATGTTGATTATTCTCACTCTGGGCCCTGGTGTGTGTGTGCACGTGCTCCATCTCTCCGTGTCTCTGTCTCTCTCTCTCTCTCTACCAGGGTTTGAACTTAGGGGCGCTTAACCACTGAGCCACATCCCCAGCTTCTTCTAATATTTTATTTAGAGCCAGGTTGTTGCCCATTTGCTCGGGCTTTGCTACGTTGCTGAGGCTGGCTTTGATCCTGCATTCGATTGTCCTGCCTCAGCCCCCTGAGCCGCGTGCTCGGCACCCTAACTCTCTGTGTCGCATATTGCAGGTGTCTCCCCTCTTGCAGGTGTTTTCATCTTTTTATTTCTCTTTTTATTCCATGTTGTGAGTACCTGGATGCAATGTGGTCTACTAGGGCAGTTCCTAGATTCTTTGCTCAGAGGGTTCTCTTTTGGTGGGAAGGACTTTGATTCTTTAGGTTCTAACAGAATAGTGGAACAAAATAATAGAATTTCCAAAGGAAAGTAAAGATTCAGTTTGCTGGGATCCTTCCCAAATTTTTAGTTCCCCTATCCAGCAAAGATGCAACTTTGTCAGCAACCTTTTCTAAGGATAGACACTATCAGGACTAATACTACCTCTCTTCCAACATGAGATAGTAGGGCTTCATTATTACTGGTGGTGTTAGACATGCACCCTATTAAGATGTTAGGGGTGTTCTGGGAGCATACCTTATTATACCTTTGCCCCACAATGAGAAGGGTGTTTTTGCTCTGCTGATACTTTTATGGATCAGTTTAGATCTTATATTGGAATGCCTCTCTTTGAGGAAGTGAGTGTAGACAGAAAGCAGTTTTTTTTTTTTTTTTTTTTTTGGTTGAAGACAGATAGCATGCCTTATTTTATGTGTTTATTTTTGTGCCGTGCTAAGGCTTGAACCTAGTACCTCACAAATGCTAGGCAAGTACTCTGTCTCTGAGCTACAGTCCCAGCCCTGAGTACAAATATGGACTAAATACTTGGAGACCATAGAATCATGAGAACATCTCACATGTCTAGAATAGAGCCCTTATGTTTTCAGTCTCTCATGGCCTGCACTACATTTTTATTATTATTTTTTTTAACTATTGATAGATCTTTATTTTATTTATTTATATGTGGTTCTGAGAATCGAACCCAGTGCCTCACACGTACCAGGTAATGCACTACTGCTGAGCCCCAGCCCCAGCATCCCCCCCCCTTTTTTTAAAATTTTTAAAAATTGTTGATAAACCTTTATTTTTTTCATTTATATGCTGCACTAATTTTTTTTTTAATTTTTATTGTTGGTTGTTCAAAACATTACATAGTTCTTGACAAATCATATTTCACACTCCCAACTTCTCTCTCTACCCCATGTACTGTAATTCATTTCTCCCCCTTCCCCCCCCCCCCCCCCCCCCCCCCTTTCCCCTCAGTTCCTCTTGTATGTAATTTTGTATAACCATGAGGGTCTCCTTCCATTTCCATGCAATTTCCCTTCTCTTCCCTTTTCCGTCCCACCTCTCACCCCTGTTTAATGTTAATCTTTTGATGATATTTTAGAGCTCAGTGTTCTTTGAGGATGTCGCTGTGAACTTCACCCAGGAGGAGTGGGCTTTGCTGGATCCTTCCCAAAAGAATCTCTACAGAGATGTGATGCAGGAAGTCCTTAGAAACCTGGCTTCTATAGGTAAGGATGATGTTTCATTACATATTGAAAGACAGAGCACCCGGGAGTCCCCCCACCCACCCACTCATGAATTTAGAAGGTGGAAAGGGAGTAAGTACTTTTAGGAAAAAATGGGGCCTAATGTCAGTGCCACTGTGCAGCATAAATACCATAATTCTTTTTTTTTCCTCTTTTATTATTTTTATGTTTTAGTTATCCATATTATAAATCCCATAATCCATTCTGAAATTATGATAATTTTAATCACTGTTCTGGGTGTACGTTTTAGGATTCAGATGGGAGAACCAAAGTGCTGAAGATCAGAACACAAATCCTGGGATAGATCTAAGGTAACTTGTACTCATGAGAGGAACCAGAGAGCCCTGAAGGAATCCTAGCATATCCTATAATTTTTACAAACAAGGAAAGTAAGCAAGCATGGTATGAACTATATTTATTCTTTTTAAACCCAAAACATGAACTTTAATGTAAGATACACATTTAGTGTTTTCAAAATAATTGATTTTTTTGACAGAGCTAACAAACTGCATTTATAATACCACTGTTTTCATAGTAGCTATGGAGAAGCAGTCTCACAAAGTAGTCATGATATTGACTTTCAAACAGTTTAGACATGACAGAAAACCAGTACTTTCCCAGATATTAGTGTAAGTCCAATGCCTGTAAATAAATATAATATAATATTGTTAATTAGCCAACCATAAATTGTACTTGTAGTTGTTTTTGTTTGTTTGTTTGTTTGTTTTTACAGGAATCTTATGGTAGGCTCTGGAAAAATTTAAAAAGATATTTCAGGGAGATTCCAAATCTTAGTCTTAAAAGGACATTCCTGCTAGAAATTCCATGTGAAAGAAGTATGTGTGGACAGGTCTTCATATATAATGTTTTCCTAAACAGGCACATCATATGTCTCTCTGCAAACAAACCACATGAGGATGAGGAGTGTGGAGGAAAGCCATATGAATTTAAACAGAACAAAAAATCCTTTATTTCTCTCACAAATGTTCAAAGACACGTGTCAGAGTACACTGTAAATGGATCGTATGGATGTTTGACATGTGGAAAAGAGTTTATTTGTTCCAGGTGTATTGAAAAATCTCGACGATCTCATACTAGAGAGAAGATATATGGAGGCAAGCAATGTGGGAAAGCCTTCAGTACTTCAAATTATCTTCAGTTACATGTACAAACTCACAATGGAGAGGCGGCTTACAGATGTAAACAATGTGGAAATGCATTCATTAGTGTGGCTAATCTTAAAGTACATGAAGAATCTCATAATGGGGAGATTATGAGTTGTAAACAATGTGGAAAAGCCTTCAGTTGTTCCAGTTCCCTTCAAAAACATGAACAAACTTATGCTGGAGAGAACCCTAATCAATGTGAACAAGGTGGGAAAGCCTTTTTTATATCCTCTAAGCTATACACACAAGAACAAACACATAGAGGAAAGAAGCTATATGAATGTAAACAATGTGGAAAAGCCTTCACTAGTTCTTCTTATCTTCAGATTCATAAACGAACTCATACAGGAGAGCTCAATGAATGTAAACAATGTGGTAAAGCCTACACTACTTCATCTTACCTTCAGATACATGAACGAACTCATACTGGATTGAAGCCCTATGAATGTAAGCAGTGTGGCAAAGCCTTCACTCAGTCCAGTCACCTTCAAATACATAAAAGAACTCATTCAGTAAAGAAGCCCTATGAATGTAAACAATGTGGGAAATCCCTCTGTAGTTTTTCTTACCTTCAAATACATGAACGAACTCATACTGGAGAGAAGCCCTATAAATGTAAACAATGTGGGAAAGCCTTCACTTTTTCCAGTCCCCTTAAAGTGCATGAACGAACTCATACTGGAGAGAAGCCCTATGAATGTAAACAGTGTGGTAAAGCCTTTGCTACATCTGGTAACCTTCACTCACATGAACGAACTCATACAGGAAGAAAGCCCTATGAATGTAAACAATGTGGAAAAGCCTACAGTGGTTCTACTTGCCTTAAAATACATGAAAGGACTCATACTGGAGAGAAGCCCTATGACTGTAGGCAGTGTGGCAAAGCCTTTACCCAGTCCAGTCACCTTCACTCACATGAACGAACTCATAGAGGAAAGAAGGCCAATGTGGGTAAACAATCTGGTAAAGCCTTCAGTTGTTCCACTTATCTTCCTGTGCATGAAAAGCCTCACACTGGAGATAAGCCCTATCAATGTAAATAGTATGGTAAAATTTTCATTTTTTTCCCTTTTCCTTTGAATACATGAATTATCTCTGTGGAGAAAGGCCCTATAAGTGTAAATTGATGACCTTGGTAAAGCCTTCACTAGTTTGACTTATTATGAAAGATATGAAAAATCTCATACTGGGGAAAAACTTTATGGATGTAAACAATGTGGGAAAGCCTTCACTTATTCCTTTGGGCTTTGTGTACATAAAAATATTAATACAGGGGACGAACCTATGAATGTAAATGGTGTGTTAAATCCTTCACTGATTGTGCTTATTTTCATGTTGTGAATGAACTCATACTGGGAAGAGGCCTCAGGAATGTAACAATGTGGAGCAACCTTTCCTTATTCCAATTCATTTTGAAAAACACTAGGGAACACACACTGGAGAGAGATTGTATGAATGTAAACAATCTGGAAAAACATTCAAGATTTCCACTCACCTTCAAATGTATAAATGCACACATACTACAAAGAAACCTTATACATATAAGCAATGAAGGAAAGGTTTCATGTATTCTTATCAGATTCCAATCATAAATTCACACTGGATAGAGGCCTTATGAATGTCAACAATATGTGAAAGCCTTCAATTGATCTTCCTACCTTCAAATACAAGAACAAATGCTGGTTAGAAGCCCTTCAAGCATAAACAATGTAGAAAAGCCTTTATTTGTGGCAGTTACGACATGAAATAACTCACATAGGAACAAAGCTATACTAATATAACAAAGCTATACTAGTATAAACAATCAGAAATACCTTCTTTCCTTACTCCTAATAAGTATTAAATAAATGGTAATATAGAATTGCCCTTTGAATGCAATAATTGTCACAAATCATTCAACTTTCTTGGTCATCTTCAAATACATGAAAGTATTCACACTACAGAAACTCTGAACATTAAAAATATGGTAAATCAGTGCTCCCAGTTGCCTTAAAAGCCATTTCACTCATAGTGAAAAAGAAACGCTCTAAATATCTGATATTTACCTCCTATACACGAAAGGTAATGGAGCAAAGAAATGTGTGAACATGTTCAATTTTTTCAGGTCCTTTGAAGAACAATTGCACAGGGTGAGAAACTGAACCAGCAATCTGATAGAGTTTTCATAAATTCCAGTTTGATTTTTGTGTCAGATTTCCATTGCACTGATGAAAATACCAGAGAAAATTCAACCGAAGGGAGGGAAGATTTATTTTGGCTCATGGTTTTATAACATTCAGTCCATCATGGGCTGATTGCCTTGCTTTAGCCCTGAGGTCAAGCAGAACATGGGATGGAATGGTGAAGCAGGGTAGACCTACTTATCTCATGGCAGCTGGGAAGAAGAGAGAGAATATGAATTAAGTATATCACTAGTTACCTCGCAGGTTTTATTGTGCAGACCATAGTTGTGGTCTTTCTATTTTCTATGATGCTGCTTCCCTTGATACTGTAGTGTGCACTTGTGATGGGGTTCACATCTTTGGTGCCTCATGGTCCAGGTACTGATTAGTAAAGGAAGAGAAAACAATGATGCTAGCTTCTAAGAAAACACGAGACAGGCTACTACCTCAAGTGTTCTGAGGGCAAAATCCCTAGTCAGCGTGTGGGTTTTCCTTAGCACTGCTGTCTACCAGCATTGCAAAGTTCTCATGAGAATAAGGTTTGATGACCTTGGAGAAAATGACACTGCATTTTGTGCATTTCCTGAAGATTGAGTTGGTGGCTTCCATTGTGGATTATTGGATAGCTAAACTCTTTCATTTAACCACACAGAACATGACCACTTCTGGGGATCAGATGAAGATATTTCCTGTGCAACCTGCAAGTTTGCATGAATAACTACCCCAAAATTTTCAGAAGCACTTTATGTAGAGAGAAGAGTAGTTATGGATAATGGGATGTTCTAGCAACCTAATAACAAATGAGGTAATTATTAGGGTCTGGCTCACCAAGACCCTTGAATACTAAGTGCTATGCCTCCAGCTCAACAAGTGTGATGATCCCCTGGTATCAGGTACAGGATGTTCTTCAGTTGGTCTTCCCCAGTTCTTCCCCACCCCTCTTTGTTCGTTGTAAATCTCAAGAATACATGTAGAATGTGGACGTAGAAGAATGATAAGCAATACCATGAGATGACAGGCCAAACTGTCTCTTGGAGACAGAGAAGTGTGGGAAGGCAAAAGTAAGAGGCGACAGAATGGGAAGTGGAAAGAGATGGAGAGAGAACCCATTGACCATGTCCCTCCCTGGACCAGGGTCCAGTACAATGGGATGGAGTCTTTAAAGGATTTGTCTCTTAAGGCCACATTAGAGTAAATGTCTCTGTTCTTATTTTCAATGAATCCCCAAAGCATAATTGAGAATAATATTGGGATGAGGTATTGGAGGAAAATTGTTGACATTCTCACATCTGGTGGATAGGTGGAGGGAAGGCATGAATATTATTCACATATTTGACCTTGTGTTTTCAGTTTCCTGGTGTGGTCACTGAGGTTAAGGGAATGGGGAACAGTGTCCCATCAGGCTAGATACGTTCAATTCCTGAATTCTAACTGCTCGTACTGTGGAATCTGCATAATATACTAACTTCCTTCCTATGTATTCAGAGGCAGAGTACTCTAAACAGAAATTGCATTAGGGGATGAGCAACTAGAAATTTATGTTGATTGACTAAATATGCTATATGGTCACATGATTAATTTAATCCACATTTAAGTAATTTATTAATATGAAAATGAATCCTAAAGTTTGGAAGACCTAACTACTAAAGAATAATAGTTCTTAAATTTACAGATTTGTAAATAAGTCTCTGAAATTTGAGGATATTATATTAAAACATGAACATGTTCAACCAGAGAAATAAGACAAAGGGATTACAATAGAATTCAAAGAGACAAACCCACACAGATTGTCATTTGATCCTGGATAAGTGTGCCAAAAATATATTAGAGAAAGAACAGCCTTTATTTAAAAAAAAAAAAAAAAAACCATAATGTGCTGGGAAAACTTGTTATCCATTTGTAGAAGAATGAGACTGAATCCCTGTCCCTCACCTTGCAGAAAATTCAATTCATGGATCAAAGGGCTATGAATTAGATGATAAGCTATGAATTCCTAGGAGAAAACAGTCAACACTGCAACATGGTTGCAAGCAACAATTTTGTCAGGAGAATTCCTGAAGGTTGAGAACTAACTTGAAGAATTAATAAATGGGATGACATCAGATTCAGAATTTTCTGCAAGGCAAAGCAAACAAAAATGTGGATAACCCATAGGAAGAGAATGAATTTTCTGAGAGAATAGTAGTATCCAGTATGCACGAAGAACTCCAGCATCTTATAATTAAAAATAACCCAATTAATAAAGAATTGAATTAAGTAAACACTTATTAAAAGAAGAAATACAT